GGTTGTAGTGACAAGCTACCTTACATCACGATGGGCAGCGGGTGTCTAGCGGCGTTATCAGTTTTGGAATCCCGATTTCGATCTAACATGTCGGTAAGTGGAATTTAGTATTATGTGTAGGCCCTCAAATCTTACGTAATCTTACACGCTTATGTAAAGCTTTGCTTAGTTCAGTGACCAGTAATCAGTTTTATATCACTGTTATTAGCATGCATCGAGATGTAACATTTTAGTTTTCAATCTTGCCACTGCTGCTGCAGCAAGCAGCTTCACTGCACCCTACCCATTTTCACGTTCACTCTATCGATGTTTTGATGCTTTTGACACCATTTATTTCTTTGTTTAGGTTACTGTTTTATTGGCGAGTAACCAATATATTTTACATCTCTGAGATGTTAGTTGTCGTCGCATCCCTTTACTGTCCACCTCATTACCAAGCAAGCGTTGGTACTGCCTTAAGCGCCAGGGCCGAGGCTGGTCTATTGGATTTGATCTCGACAGATAGTCGCAATGAGACTCACCGGCATACGCTCCCACAGACTAGCCTTGATACAGTCAAGGACGCCTTCTATCATAACCTACATGAGCTTCTTCTCAAAGTACCTAAGACGGATATCGTGATCATGGCCGGAGACCTAAACGCACGCGTTGGTCGTCTGTCACCCGACGAGATTCACCTTGGTGGCCATCATGGCCTTGATAGCTGTCGTTCAGATAATGAGGATAGACTTCTTAGGATATGCTCAGAACACGGTCTGTTCCTCGTTACACGAACTTCAGACACCAGGCGTCACCTCACCACTTGGCGTAACCTCTCTTCGACACAGACGTGGAGTCAGATTGACCATATAGCTAGTAGCTATAAATGGAGATGATGTGTGAGAGACTGCCGTTCGTATTGGTCTACCTGCTTGGACTCCGACCTCGCACTGGTTTGTTCCGAGTTGTCTATGCGATTTGGTGGCCGCAAGAAAATACGATGTAAACAGCTTGACGTCGCCAAGCTCTCTGACCTGGCCGTACTAGCCAAATACCAAAACGAGTTAGCTGCAGGGCAAACTACTACCCCACCAAGAAGCGTAGATCAACACTGGACAACCATTCAAACGCACTCAGCCGGTTTACACAGTTGCGGCCTGAACCGCCGAGTTGTGAATCGCTGGGTCTCCTCGAACTCTCAGACTTTTTGACGCGCATTGGGCAATCCCAACTGACAGCAAGCATGGTGAACGGCACCTATCTTTTTGAAGCGTGAACTCACAAGGAGTTGGAGAGACGACCGAGAGGCCGGGTGGACGCAACTTGCAAAGAAGTGCACAGATCCATTAAGTAGGGTAGTTGTCTCGCGTCTTCCAGGTTGGGGTGCGAAATATTCCGCGACTAGTTGGTTGGAGACATTGAAGGATTTGGCAGCGAACCGACAGCACTTGTCATTTGTTATCAGGTCAGAATGCTTGGAACGGTATGTATGCATACTTCCATTGTGTACTCTTTATTATTTATTTATTATTTATCCCTCAAAATAGGTCGAATCCGTTCACCTTTGATGTCGCCACCAACCTTGTATGTATTGAGTTTGACAGCGATCAGTGAAGTTCGCCTCGCTGTATTTCACCGTACGACGATGACGATACGTGCAGAGATGGGATGAACAACTGGGTGTGGAAACACCCGGCAACTATTCCAACTCACCCGAGCGTTAGTGAAACATTCTGCGAAGTAGACGGCACGATAATATAGTTTTCACTGACGCTTGAAACGCTCTTCAAATCGCAGTTCAACCAGCCCCTACACAGGCTGCTTCAATTAGTTCTCTTGAGAGTGCACCCTGGTTACTATCCACGGTACCACCCACAAAAGCGGAAATCCGAAAGGAACACCATAAGGCGGCTGGATCAGACGACCTGTCACCTACCCTCTTCAAAGATGGTAAGAGGTCTCGTGAAAAGCTTGTGAGACTGTTCTCGAAGATCCGAGAAACCAAAAGTGTACCCTACACATGGGAAAATCGATTGTTACACCAGTCTACAAGAAGAACTGTTGCAACGCCTGATCCAACCAAAGGGGCATAAGTCTAATTAAAATAGTGCCGAAGCTGCTTGCGTCCGTTTTATTACGCAACATAAGCCCATTTTGTTGATGACAAATTCGCGAAGAGCAGGCTGGGTTTCGTGCACGCCGTGGTTGTTTAGATTAATTCTTTATCCTTCGTCAGCTACTAAAACACGGCCACGCATACAGACGGAAAACCATTATTGTGTTCTTGGACATAAGAGCATCCTTCGACTCTGTCGATCGCTCCGCACTGTGGAACTGTTTGCGGAGGCACGGAGTACCCGAAAAATATGCTCTGCTTCTAAAAGCACCCTACCGCCAGACCTCGGGGAAGGTTAGGGCCTACGGTGAATCTTCACCCTCATTTTCTGTCACCAGTGGGGTACTACAGGGGTACTACTACTACTACTACCACCCTACCTCTTCGTTTCTCTTCAACTTAGGTGGATGATGTCCTACAAAACACGTTTCTCGACGTAATGAACCATGCCGTCGAGCGTCTTCCTGGAGACAATCGTATACTTGGAGTATGCCAATAAGTTAAAATTTTGAATATTCTCATGGTAGCGTTGAGAAAACGAGTGGGTTAGCAAACAGTTGTTTTCAGACATTCCTAGTCATGCTCTTACAGAATACGCTTACATAATGGCAACCATTGGCTCAATTTAAGTTCATCAGTCGGAGAGAAGAGGATGTGCGTGTGTTTATGTGTATGAACGTTTACTGTGTCAGTTGATGTGGCCTTTCTCCATTTGAGTCAAGGGACACGTCTTGTTCTGTTTTGGTTTTTTACACTTTACCAAGGCAATTTAAGCGCTTGAACCAATCTTTTAGGATACACAGGTTTGGGCAAAGTTAGCGGATGGCGATCACCTCAGCCATGGTTTATGTCCAAACTCGGGCGTCTTTGATCGATTGAGTGGGATGTGATAAACAACAGCGAAAGCTTTCTCCGGTTCGATCTTGTATCTAGTATGCACGAGATGACCTACGATCGCGCGTGAGAAGCAGCCGGTCTTCCCCTGATTTAACCATCTCGGGTGATGCTCCTTTATGCGTTCAGGCAAACACCTCACTGTGCGACCTATGTAGCATGCGCTACAGACGCATTTATAAGGAAATAAATTAATATGGATAAGGACAGTTTCGGTAGTTTGTCAATTAATTGCTCTTTGCTAACTCTGAATTTCCATCCTTAAAAACCGATCGGAACAGCCGGAAGCTTTATGCCTTTTGAGATAACTTATTTCCTTAAAAACCTTTATCTTAGATAAAAGACTGATATAAACTGGCAGTGGTTGCCCAGTTGAGATATGGACCGATTTGTCTAATGTCGATGGACGGTGGGGTGGGCATGTGAACTGTGCCTTGAAATTTCCAGGCCACTGTTCATGGTGGTTTGCCGAATAAGAATTAGTGTGCTGCCAGAATCATTAATTACCTTTCCTGAATTACTTTCCTTGGAACCATATTCCTAATTTAACAGAAAAGATTGTGACTATTACCCATAGCCACAGCCCTCTCTGTCTCTTCAAACTTTTCTACTCACCACTTCTCGTGGTCAGTCTGCAAAATCTTGATAAGCAGGTGCTTAAGGGATTTGCGCGCTGTTATGTTTGGCAGCAGGAGGCTAAGTTTGACCATATCGAGGTTGCCCACCACTTAAGTTGGGTGAAGGGCATGGACTTACACTCGGAACACTTTAGTGACAGCGACCGTATCTGCTAGGCCACCTCCCAGCATACAAGCGCAGTAAAATATGGAAGATGCGACTTGAAAGAATAGCGATAAAAATCTCGTTTTATCTCCTCTCCTTAATTTTGCCCTTTGCGTGATGGTGTTTGCCTGTTTTGGGTGATAAATACATATATAATAAACAATAACTAGTTTACTTCGTTGCAAATAAATCCCACTGGCTTCTTCTGATCTCTTTTCTTTCAGCGTGCTGAGGCTATGCAACTCGTTCGTGACGCAATCGCTGCCGGTATTTTTAATGACCTCGGATCTGGAAGTAATGTAGACTTGTGTGTCATTACGAAAGAGTCGACCGATTACATTAGGCCGCATGATATTGCAAACAAAAAAGGACAGCGGTGAGTTTTTCCCCTGAACTTTGAGGTAATCATTCGCACTAGTTGATCACCGGGTCCTAGCGTCCACGGTCGCTCCCAGTAATCGAAATTTCGGTTTGCTCCTGATTGTATTATTGTTCCGAGTGCAATAATAATACTACTAATAGGAAGATAGCGTTAGTTCGCTAATGCGATTGCACAAATCAGGTCACTCTTGTCGTTAATTCCACCCAAGTTCAAATTGATATGCTGGATTTACTCACCATCATCGCCCGGTTCAACAGGTCAAACTGACACTATTACTGCGAAGTATAAACATACATGAAGTCAAGCACTGTGGAAAAATGTGGAGCAAACTGATCATTAGTAGTATGAGGGTTTTGACCTGAATAGAAAACACTTGATTGCAATTTGATACTGCGAATTAAATTTCGTCAAGTCGTTGAATGGCTCCCGGACGGCAGAATGCGGTTCTCTTATTCGATGCTTGTATTCCACTCACTAAAAAATGTTGTATTGTATTTCATACACGTCTAATTCCAGTCGGTGTTTGCCAAACATTATAGTACAATAATCTTTATAAAACAAGAAAGTTCCATGATTTGTTTGTAAACAGAATATTATCAGGTTGACCAGGCCAAAGCAGCTGAATCTTCTTAGGGAGTTCACAACCGTAGCCTTCGGCTGACCAAAGCTTGACCCAAAAGGCAGTAGGCAGGTATGTGAAAACCACCTTCCACTAAGGGCAGGTGTCCAGTTCATTGGATCAAACCCTTTGGAGGTGCCCAATACACCTAAATGCCTATGGTAATGGACTTAGTTTCCGATGTGATTCTAACGGCGTCTTCCATTAGAGACAATTTCGTTAGGGATAAAAATGCCATACGCACCAGTGCCTGGCAGTATTTGTGCTCTGATAGAACACTGTCTTGAATACGGATGTTTTAGGTTATGTAACCCGGTGCATTTAACCCATTATGTTTTTCTGGTCACGCCTTGTTTCATTTTCCAGTGCTGCGAAATACAATCTCCCCCCGGGATCAACTGCGGTCCTGTCCCAAAAGATCCAACCAGTCGAATACGATGTGGTCACAACGCGAGTGGTTCGCGATTTGCCAGATCCCAAAGCGGAAGCCATGGATACCACCTAACTCCCCCGGGCGTTGTTCTTTTGTTGTTGATAATACACTCTTGACTTCTCGCACGCTGTCCTCTCGTTGTCAATGCTATCGATTATTCCGACAAACGACATACCCATTTTGCTTACTAAGGCATAACGGTCTGTGGTTACTGACGGCTCATCAGTTGTGACTAGACAATCCCAACGAACCAGTCACTCAAATTGCCTTGATCCGATGAAGTTGGAGTAGCCACTAAAAGATGTAGCTATAACCTGATCAACAATACGCATGATTTACATGTCCACGGTCTCAGCCTAGAAATAAAAGTTACTAATAAGATAGAGCCTGATTGTCATTAGGCATATAACCACTATAATTATTTCTTTACCTGGAGTTCGACCTCGGCGCATGCACGGTACCGGACCCGTGTTATGAAAACAGCACAGGCTCAGTGACTTTGTTCTATTTGATTTCCATGATCCATTTGTATGTTTTACTCCCGCCAGAGCATCAATTCAGATAATTTCCTTGATTTCAACACCATCATTGTTGCAACCAGATGGCCTGGAGTAACCCGCACAACGACTGGGTCTGCCCATTACATTGGATTGACCACGACAAATTCGTTTCAAATCAAGAACCATATTTTCATCGAGATATTTGCATCATATTCAAACAGTGTTCAGTTGAACAATACGCGTTTTTTTTCTTGTCAAAATTTGTCAATTAGACAACTATTCTTAACGTCGGTCAGTCACTCTCGGGGAAAAGCGAAATCGCCCCAGTCACAGCAATAAAACGGAATGTCTGAGAGGAGAAAACAGCCTGGATTATCAGCAAGCTATATTCCATGCGAGTCTGCGAAAATGTCATGTAATGGTACTAGTTCTGACACTCATTAACCGCGCATTATTGTGCCACGCTGTTGGTTACTGTTTCATTCGACCATTCGGTCAACCAGCAAGGGGAAGAGATTAAACGGAAAACCACCGTGGAAAATATAAATACAAATAAATATAAATTAGATATTCATAGTAGGTGTGAACACCCCGGAGAGCTGCTGTTCACGACATCGAGCGTCTGGTCATTGGTTAGGTTGCTCATGGAATCGTTTAACCGGAGGTTCTAACTTGATCTGCTCAATTAAACTATCTGGTCTGGATTTTGACAGGGTTGGCTCCAATCAGCGTTCTTTCAACAACTACTCCCTTCCCCAGACATGACACCGAGAATACCTAACTGGTAACAAGCGTATCACATGATCACNCATGATCACGTACCACAATCCATGATTTTCAAAGTTTTGCGTTAGTACGCACGTAGTTCTTTCAAAACAATGACTGCCTTCGACTAGAGCGCCTTATTCCACCGGAGCCTTTGGCTAGCCAAAGCATGACCTGCAAGGTAACGGGACGGCTTGCGAGAACCGCAATCCGTTGGGGGCCGGTGTTCCGTCTGTCGGATCATACGGAGTCAAATGTCCACGGTGCTCAATACAGTTTAATATACAAACGAGCGTATGGCCACTACCGCGGTGTTTGTGGTTCGTTTGAAATCAGGGTTATGGGCCAATCCCCATTTGAACTGACAGCGGTTTGCCGATCCAGTTATAACTCCGATTGTTTGCCCTTCATCCTCTCACTTTGGTGAGAAAACCGCCACTGGAAGGTAGTGATTAGGGTTCCCTCAACAGAAGCGTTTTGAGACCTTTGGTTGCACCGAAGCATTTCTCCGGGTGAAATGGATGGGTTACCAACCGAAGCCCAAAGCACCCACCTCCGATTATACTGAAGGATCAAGGAATGGTTGACGAGGTTTGTTGAACCCCACACTGGCGGATTCGTTTGTCTGTTTAGATGTCATTCAACGCTATTATGTGCTGAGCTATGTTTCTGGAAAGGGGTGTTGCGCTTTCTGTGTGGATCGTTATTCGGGAACTAAATGACAGTTGAAGACTTTATCAGCTACGCACTCGCTTTATCAATGCCGTCCACACAGGGTGAGTACGTGCATACTTGAGCCGTATGCCCAAAGGTCGTCTGATGCTGTTGCGCTGTTTGCTTTAGTTGTCGCTTTCGTATGCATGCAACATTGTGGTTGTCAACAGATGACTTGGAAAGAAAACAGGATAGGCGTTTCTCTGCGGGGCTTGCAGAAGACCGTAATCAGTTGGGTTGAGGCTAGCATAAAGAGGACTGACATCGGAAGCGTCGGTGTACCAGTTTTTGACATGAGACCGCCTGACGTGATCTGTGTGCACAGTTAGAGTGTATTGCTGTTGCTCATCTTGTTTCGCATTCTCCTCTTCGTCAAGCTGGCCCACTATTTATTTATTGCTTGTTGGTTGTCGGACAAGTTCGCATCATTGTGCGGTAATACTATGTTCTATTCACGAATTTGTGGTCCACACGTTAAAATATGTAACCAGCTACCGTGAATTATTCTCGGCCTACGAAACCGAAAATAATTTGCACTGATCTTTTGATTCTGCCAAACACTCACCGTCTTAGATGGAGGAGTGATACAATTTATTTCCAAAATCAAACTGTCAAAGAGCGTGGCGTTTCACCCACAAACTGGATGGGAACAAACGCTTTTAACCGTCTAGAGTTCATTAAGAAAACACTGTAGCGAACAGAGTTTGTTTTCGATAACTTCTTGGGTCTGATATAGTTATACATAAAGTTCAAAATTGTCAAAATAGTGTAATGGTCTGATTTGATAAATATGATTGGTTGATTGTGATCTTGTGGGATGTAGTTTGGAACTGTAAGGGTACAGTTTGTTGTTGTGTGATTTGGAAATGTTCGCAATCGATGAATTGAGTGAGCTGTTTCAATTTGCGCCTGTGGGTCACGGTTGACTATGTCAGGTTAAGGCCAGTGTAAACAAAGCGACTGATCGAATCGCTTTTGTAAGCAATGGATGGATTAAGTAGACGAATAGCCATCGCCTCGGCTGTAACAAGGTGCTGTTGACGCACAGCTTCGGATGGGTTTGCTAGTACTTTGTAGATCACCTTGAATGCGTCCTCGTTTGCTTGATGGTCCAAGTGTCTGCAAGGTGTTCTACCAGTGCACCTGTACTCGTTTTCCCGTACTCAATAAGGCCGGTTTGTGCTCCTTGATTCTTTGCGGCAATTGCCTGATCATTCTTTTTACATAAATTGCCAAACAGGAGCAAAGACTATAGTAAATGATCATAGATGAATAGTAGATAGACGTTAGGATCTGGCACGGATGTCTTCAAACCACGACCAATGATTACATACACCTTTTCTTCTAACAGACGCACCCTTCCCGTATGTGCAAACTAATACTACCACTAACAAAGTTGTAATATCAAAAGAAAAGACCAAATCGCAGTACTGCACGATTTATATCCAGGATGATTTGGCTGCGTCTCTACATGGTGCATACTGCAGACAACACAATATATAGGGCTTTAGTATCGCAACACAAAAGTAAAATACATTGAAACAAGCAAACCTAAAAGAGGGAGGGACAGACTAAAATAAAGTTCTTTCTGTTGGCACAGAGGGTCCTTCATCGATTATTAGCAATCGCTTCATTAAACCTTAGGAATCTTGCGATTTGTGATTTGTAGATGATCCGAAACGCTGTGCTTCAATCGATCTGACGTTGCGACGACAGATATCGAACTCTTGAGTTTCAACCGTCGTTCCTATGTAGCGGACTTGACCTCGATTGTCATCTGATTGTGGACTCAATTTGGAATATATTCCACTACCCGGTAACTTAATCGTCGCTCTTTTCTTCCCACGTAGGTCGCCTTGCACCCACATTGGAATTGGTAGGGTAGATTAGAGTTGGTGTGCAGAGGCAGACGTTCTTTTGCCGGATGTGGGTATCCTGGTTGTTCGGTAGAGACGATTTGGGTGTCAGCTGTGTAGTAAGATCGAGTGATTGCTGATCTCAGTCGTTTTTGAGCAAGCAGGTTATGCCATCACCTTTGAATAGAAGGCACAAAATCGTAATAAACAAAGTCGTAATTATGTGATCCGAGGTTGCATACTTGAAAACCAGTAAAACAGTCAAGCGGTGGTGACTGGTTTCTCATGCATTAGCACCTTTTGGTTGTGCTCCATTCTTCGTATGTTACCGGGTTGAAAATTTCTAATACGTGCCTTGTGATAAGAAGTCGGTTTATTTCTCAGCTAGGTATGAGATTTTGCGGACTATGCTTTGTTCCCGTTCGTAAAACACTACCGAATTGTGAAGCAAACATTGTTCCTTCCATTATCGTTTCTATAATGTGGAGCTACAGATACACAAAAATGAGTTCTGGTAGAAAACGGAATATGAAGCTATCGATCAAACGAAAAATCGATCGATGTCGTATGTCTGTTGGAATATACGGAGGACATGCAAAGCGCACATGATAGACTGTTTCCCGATTCAGTATGTGCTTTTCATCTTTAAAGTGCAAAATGATGCTGCAAGACTGGGTATAGCTTGGTCCAGCTTTGAAACTCACTGACCAAGAATTAGTGATAGTGGATTACTTTTCCTACTTAGGTAGTTGCGTGACCAATGACGGTAGCACAGTAAAGGGGATAACCCCCCGCATTTCCATAGCTCGAGCAGCATACGCAGGACCGAAACACCTTTGGCGTGGACGCAACATTTCACTGAAGTTGCCATGTCGTGTATATTGTGCTACCGTTCGTTCAGTTCTGCTTCATGGTTGTGTGACCTTGAATTTGCTACTAGAAGTTTTCGATTATCGGAATTTACGTAGTCTAACCCACGGGACTCGAACCCGATGCTCTCATCGCTTAGACTATCCGAATAAGCCTCGGTATGGTCGTAGGTGGGTGTCTTGGGTTGCGGCTGGTCACCTCTCCTTTGCATCTTGCGAAGTGTTCCCATTCGACCAAGTGTCTCAAATAGCTTCTGCTGAGGAAGACCTACTCACTAACTTCTCTTGTTGCTGAGGTGTTTTCTCACCAAACTGAGAGGATGAAAATACAATATCCTGGACTATAACCGGATCGGTGAACCACTGGC